ACCAGCATTTATTGAGGGTCTACTATGTGCATGCCTTGGGGGCATGCAGAGACAAAGGAAAAATACTTTCCCTACCTTCCTGAAGCTTACTTTCTTTTTTTTGTTTGTTTTTTGCTTTTTGGTGAGGCAATATGGGGTTAAGTGACTTGCCCAGGGTCAAAGAGCTAGTGTCAAGTGTCTGAGGTCAGATTTCAACTCAGGTCTTCCTGATTCTAAGGCTGGAGCTCTATCACCTAGGCGCCCTGAAGAAGCTTACTTTCTCCTGAGAGATGATGCACTGCATAAACATATATGAAGGAGTAAATTAAGAAAAGCTCTTTAAAACTCACATAATGCTTACCTTTATTAAGGTCCCCTGATATGAAGTTGAAAAGACCTACTGATTTTATTTTATTTCATTCACTCTTCCTCCCCTTCCTTTCCCCCTTTCTTCCTTCCTCCTTCTTTTTCCCCTTCCCCCTTCCCTTTTCCTTTCATTTTTACTCTCCTTGGATAAAATGCCATATTTCCAATGATAATAATAATCTGTCAAGAGTGGTGGGATTGAATATACTTCCTTATTTTTTAAAATCTCTATGAACAATAATTGTTAGTAATTACTTAGCTGGTTAATTTGATCAGTGTAGTTAATGAAGCAGGAGATTTAAAAAAAAAAAGAAAGAAACTTTTAAATCGAAAGATACCTAATGCAGCTGTTGAATAATGGACTATGACAGTCAGTGAACATCTTTCCAGGAGAAGTCATGTTTCTCTGTATAGATTGACCATCCACAAAGCAAAAATAAGCAACAGTGAGCTGTCTCTGATTTCAGCTCAGGGGGAAGTTTTCTACATAAGTCCATTCTTCTTTAGTACTTAATAGATTGTATCAAACCTTAATTGCAGATTCATTTTTAAATATTTTAGTTCTGTTTCTGTATAAGTTTGAGGATCAGTGTGAAAGCCAGTTTGGGGGACCACACAGTGCAGAAAAGAGAATAATATATTAGAAGGCTGGAAGGTTAGGTTGGGACCAAGCTGTTAGGGCCTTTAAATGCCAAACAGAGAAGGTTATATTTAATACTAGAAGTAATAGGGAGCCACTGGAGATTATATTGAGTAGGAAAGTGACATGGTCAGACCTGCACCGTAGGAAAATTACTTTGGTAGATATGTGGAGGATAAATTAGAGCAAGTATAGACTTAAGGCAACAAGAATTTGTTAATTTCCTGTTATGTGCCAAGTGGGGCAGCTAGGTGGTACAGTGGATAGTCAGGAAGACTCATCTTCCTGAGTCTAAATCCAGCCTCAGACACTTACTAGCTGTGTGATCCTGGGCAGGTCACTTAACCCTGTTTGCCTCAGTTTCCTCATCTGTAAACTAATCTGGAGAAAGAAATGTCAAACCGCTCTAGTATTTTTGCCAAGAAAACCTCAAATGGAGTCACAAAGAAGCGGACAGGACTGAAATGACTGAACAATGACAAAAAAGTGCCAGATACTGTGCTAAGCTCCAGAAAGGCAGAGAGGCAGTTGCTTGGATATTTGGGGCAGCTGAAAGTGGGGAGCGGAGTGATGACTGTGAAGTTATGAACCTGAGTGACTCTGGAAGGATGGTGGTGTCCTTGACAGAACTAGACAAGTTTGAATTTGGGGGGAGAGATAACGGCTTGAGATCAGGGATGCAGATCTCAACCCATCCGTGCTAGAGTGTGACATGCTCTGTCTTCCTCAAAATGAAATGATGGTAGGGCAGCTAGTGGTATAGTGAGTTCAAATGCAGCCTCAGACACATAACACTCACTAGCTGTGTGACTCTGGGCAAGTCACTTAAGCCCAATTGCCCCACCAAAAACAAAGAGAGAGAGAGAGAGAGAGAGAGAGAGAGAGAGAGAGAGAGAGAGAGAGAGAGAGAGAGAGAGAGAGAGAGAGAGAGAGAGAGAGAGAGAGAGAGAGAAGAGAAAGAGAGAAGGAAGGAAGGAAGGAAGGAAGGAAGGAAGGAAGGAAGGAAGGAAGGAAGGAAGAGAAGGAAGGAAGAAGGAGAGAAGAAGAAAGGAAGGAAGGAAGGAAGGAAGAAGGAAGGAAGGGAAGGAAGGACGGAAGGAAGGAAGGAAGGAAGGAAGGGAAATGATGGTGGTAGTAGGATTGTCACTTAACCAGTGACTTCAGAGCACAGTCTCCAGGTGAAGGGGAAGCCTCAGGGTGACCTGGAGGGAATAAAGATGCTGAGGGAAAGGGGAAATACCTCACTCCAAGTCCAGCACTCTAACGATTCTACCACACTGCCTCTAACTCTAGGTAAAATTAAAGTTAAACAGCCCAGATTTCAGGCAGGCTAGTTGAGTGCCAGCCTTGTTAGGCACTTCACCATGATTCTGTTGCTCTTCCCACCCTGCCAGTCCCCAAACCTGACACATTTGTTGCTGTTGTTGTTGTTGTTTCGTTGTTTCAGTTGTGTCCAACTCTCCGTGATCCCTTTTTGGGATTTTCTTGGCAGAGGTAACTGGGGTCGTTTGCCATTTCCGTCTCTGGTTTGTTTTATAGATGAGGAAACTAAGGCAAACAAGGTCAAGTGACTTGGCCAGGGTCACACAGGCTGGATTTGAACTTGGGAAGATGAGTCTTCCTGACTCCGAGCCTGGCACTTTATCCACTGTGCCCCGTAGCTGCCCCAAACCTGAAACATCCCTACTACCAAATATCTCCATTCCTACTGTGGGTCCTCATTTGACTGAATTTTAAATTCAGCTTTTGAAGGGCCAATCCTTTAACTTTCTATTGCACCATTCACAAAAGCTCTTAAAAACTTCTTATTTTCTCCTTAGAGAAGCAGTCTGACACAGTAGATAGAGAGTTGGCCTAGGAGCCAGGAAGACCTGGGTTCGAGTCTTGCCTCTGATCATACTGACTGTATGACCCCAGGCAAGTCCCTTAATCTCTCAGTTCCCGAAGTGGTTCTCTAAGGCTTGTAAGTTGCAGAGAAAATGCTGACCTGAATTTAGAAAGGGAGACTCCTCACCTGGATGTTTCCAGCCTCCAAGCCTACTCTTTCATTAAGGCCTCAACTGAGCCTTTAGTCCCATCTCTCTCAGAAAATAATGTCACTTCCTTTTTTGTCCCACCCAAGGCAGTGGTTGGCACGTACTACAGATTAGGGACTGTCATGGGCTGGGAAATGCTCACCAGGGACAGAGAAGGTGAGTTCCAAAAAAGGGGTAGAAAGAATCTACTGACTAGGTCATAGTCACCTCTCTTGAATGCTTACGGGTTACTATTATGGAAGGAGGTTACGTGAATAGTAAGACAATGGCTTATTGGTTTTGGTGACTTGATGGTTGCAGGGGTTGGGAGTTCAGATCAGCTTCATCTCTGTAGCTTAGAGTCCTGAAGAGTTGTTTAAGGCATGGAGAAGTTAATAGGGTTACCCAGAGTCACAGAGCCCAGCATGCATCAGAAAGCAGATTTTGAACCCAGGTCTTCCTGGTGCCAAAGCTGGCTGTCATCATACTATTTCTCATTTACTTAGAGTATAGGACTGGAAGGCAGAAGAAGTTTGAGTGATGGTTCTGCTACTTGCCAGCTGTCATATCATCTCTGATATGAGATTACCTTTTCTTCTTACATTTCTTACACTTCTTCTTATAGTTACCTGTAAGAACAGTTTTTAACATTTGTTTTAAAATTTTGAATTTCACATTCCCTCCCTGAGATGATAAGCAATTTTATCTAGTTTATACATATGTAATCATGCAAAACATATTTTCATATTAGTCACGTTGTGAAAGACCACAGATCAAACACACATCCACCCCCCAAAAAAATAAAGAAAATGAAAAATAGTATGCTTTCATGTGTACTCAGACTCCATCAGTTCTTTCTCTGGAGGTGGATAGCATTTTCATCATGAGTCCTTCAGAGTTGTCTTGGATCGTTGTATTGCTGAGAATATTTACATCATTTACGGTTGATCGTTGTACAATATTGCTGTTACTGTGTACGGTGTTCTCTTGGGTTTACTCACTTCATTTTACATCAGTTTGTGTAAGTCTTCCCAGGTTTTTCTGAAATCATCCTGCTTGTCATTTGTTATAGCCCAACAGTATTTGATTACAATCATATCATCCCAACTTGTTCAGCCATTACCCAATTGATGGGCATCCCCTCAATTTCCAATTCTTTGTGACCATAAAAAGTTGTTTTAAATATTTTTGTTCAAGTAGGTTCTTTCCCCCTTTTTAAAATCTTCTTGGGAGACAGACCTGGTAGTAGTATTTCTGGATCAAAGGGTATGCACAGTTTTATAGTCCTTTGGGCATAGTTCCAAATTGTGCTCCAGAATGGTTGAATCAGTTCACAACTCCACCAGCAGTGCATTAGTGTCCCAGTTTTCCCCCACCCCCTCCAACATCCAACATTTTCCTTTTTTGTCATATTAGCCACTCTGATAGGTATGATGTTATACCTCGGAGTTGTTTGATTTACATTTTTCTAATCAATAATGATTTAAAACATTTTTCCCCCTCTGATAATATAGGCAGCTTTGATTTCTTCATCTGAAAACTTCCTGTTTATGTCCTTGAATGTCAATTTATTGCAATTAGCGCATGACTCTGAACACTAGTTTTTGAACTTGATCTGTGATTTCATTGGTTTTGGGAGCTCAGGATAAGTAAGTTTCTCTATAAATGCAAGTTGTCACCTGCTCTGTAACACACAATATTATAGAGAGGTATCTGGAGCATACAGGGGTTAAGTGACTTGTCCAGGGTCACTCAGTCAATATGTGTCAGAGGCAGACTCTCAAATCTTCCTGATGCAGAGGTGTCTCTATATTCCATACCCTGCTGCCTCTCACACCTTTGTACAGACTAAAAGAGGACACAGATTATTTAAAGACCAGTTGATTACATATAGGGACTGATTTAGTCTGGCAAGGGAATTCCTGAGTGTTCCCCATCTGATGAGTAAAAGTCTGGGACTCTGAAACCTTTGTCTAATCTTGTCTCTCTTTCACTTACAGCCTAATCATTGTTGGTTACATTTGATGGTGCCTGAATTGGCCAACAGCCTGAATAACCTCTTGTACAAATTTTCCAAAATTTCCAGTAGTCTCAGTAATTATTCAATCATTGATAAACTCATAAAAATCATTGATGACCTGATGGGATGCTTAGAAGAGAAAAATAAGGTAATGTATCAAAAAATGGGAGGAGGAAGAGGTTATATTTTTGTTCTTCTCTTAAATGGGTTGAAGTGGGAGAAGGGGTTGGAAGTATGAAGGATTTCTGTGTGTCTTTGGGTTCATACTTGCATGTATGCAGCAGAATATTGTAAGATGTGGTTGTTAAATGCTAATAAGCTGAATTGTTTTGGAATTATAAACCTCAACATAATAATCCTTGCTCAGAGTTTTTTCTGCATTAACAAAATTATAGTAATAGTAATAGGGAAGAGGAGGGGAGCAGTGTGAAATTATAGAGAAGGTAATGCATTAAAGTGTATTTCCTTTGTTTTGGGAACAGAATTACCTCACACTGTGGAATCAAGAATTTAGCTGGGGAAGGCTTCCAAATTAGTCAGCTATTTTAAATTAAGTTGGGATGGAAAGCTTTCTATGTTGAAGCCTTAGTGCTGACGTTTTTCCATAATGTAATTGTTCCATTTTGGAGTAATATCTTTGTCTTGCTTCTTGGAGACCATAAAAATGGACTGGCCATTTTTGTCTCCATCAAGGCCATTTGACAGGTGAGTGGGCACAACTCCATACCTATTTTGGAGTCAGTGCCAGGATCAGAGATGATCAGAGTAGGAAGGGACCTTAAAGGTCATCTAGTCCAGCCTCCTAGTCTACAGATAAAGAAACTGAGACCTAGAAAAGTTAAATGCCCAAGTTCACAAAGATAGGAAGTAGCAAATCTTGGGCTTTTGGGCCATGATTATAGTGTATTAGAATAAAGTTACTTTATGACCTTCAGGAAATCACCTACCTTTTCAGGGTCTGAGTTTCCTTATCTGTGAAATGAATTGGTTACATTACGTAACCTATGCAGTCCCTTACAATTTTAAGCTGTAATCCTGTGATCCTGGAAGCTTTGTGTTGGCATGAGGCCTGAAGGTCCAGTCCTAGGCAGTTTGTGTTCTACCCCGTGCTTTTATTTCTCCTGTTCTCTCATCTCCCCTCCCCCTTCTCCTTCCCCCCTCCCACCCCCAGGTAGCCCAACTAAAATGCTCTCAGCATTTCCATCTGTCCAAAGTTTGAGGATTTTCTAATCTAGATGGGAGAGATAACATACAAATACCCAAACACACGTGTATGCACACACTGAAAGATAAAGTCATTTGAAAAGCATTAATAACTGAGGGAAATTGGGAAAGGCTTCATGGAAAAGGTAGAGATTGAATTGAGACTTGAAAAGAAACCAGGAATCTTTGTAGCAAACAGTAGCCTCATTGCCTTTGAGGATTCTTTCTTTGTTGGTGTCCATGCTCCAAAGACCTCTTCTGACTTAGCTGGAGAAAACTGTAAACCTAAAACATCAGAGGACAGTCAGCAATTAAATGCCAAAATGAGCTGGCCTCAGCCTCAAATCAGAGCTTTGAAGTTGTTTCTACTGAGGCAGCTTTGAAAAAGTGGCAGTTTCAGCATCCTAGGGCTCATCCCACTTGAATCTTTGAAGATAAGCAACCCACCAATGTCCTTGACCCACAGTAAGGAAAAATGGCACTTGGGTAATGTCAGTATTGCTTTTTTCCTCTAGAATTTCCGAAAGCAAAATAACAACATTTACCGAGAAGGCTCGTTCATTCCCGAACAGTTTTTTAGCTTCTTTAATAAATCCATCGATGCCTTCAAGGAATTTGAAGAAACATCTGAGCAGAGCGCCTGCATCCTGCCTTCAACAATAGGGCCTGAGAAAGGTAAGAAGGAAATCTTGGAAAGGGTATCTGCAAACTCAAGGTTAATTAGTGCATAAGCCAGCAGCTTCTCAGTCACAAGTCTGTGGGGATGTGTACCTCTGTAAATACAGCTACACTTGCCAACGCATTTATGCTTGTGTAGATTGGCATCTGTGACATCAGACTATTCAAAATGGTAGCTGTATTGGTTTCCAAGCCACCTTAATGAAACAAAGAACTTTCACTTGTGAATGTACACATTATTTGAAAGCCACTCATTTTTCCACTCCCTCTTAGCCTGGAGTTTGCCATTAATTTTTAAATTTCTTGACCTTCACCTTCCAGGTTTCTTATCTTTCCCTTTTTCAACACTCAGCCTTATGATTTTGCTTCTAAGGTAAGGAAGCTTTTATTCTATCCAACTAGTCTGTTGGATAGGTATAGAGGCTCAGTGCCAAGACCCCTCACCTCTTGTCTTGTTCAGGATAGAGTCCTCAACTAAAATTTCCCCCCAGTTCACACTTCTTATGGCCCATACATACATACATGTATACATATACACACCTACACACATATCTACACATAAGCACCTACATATATACACACACACACAAATACACATATACACATCCACATCCACACACACACACATATATATATATATATACATGTACAAATGACATGCATATTCATAGGTACATATAAAATTATGTTGTATATAATATTTTAATATAGAAACTATAATATAAGTAAGCTAATAATACACTTAAAATATATAATGTTTTTACTGATGGGTAGTTATCTGTGCTGATCCACATAATAATTGTGGTGGGTTTTTTCATGCAGTAGAATAGTGTGGCCAGACAATAATAAAAGAGTTCTACACCTCTAGAGCCAGCGCACAAGTTTCCTTCTCTGTAAAATGACGAGGTTGGCCTCATTGGCATTTAGGGTCCCTTGCAGCTCTAAGATGCAAAGGCACTAGACCTCCACAGAGCTGCCTGTTCTGCTATATAGAGCTTCGCCTTTAAGGAGCACTGTAATACATGTAAGTCACTATGCAACACTGACACATTGTTGCTTTCTATTTAGATTTCAGGGTCAATGTCACAAAACCATTTTTGTTACCCCCCGTTGCAGCCAGCTCCCTTAGGAATGACACCAGTAGCAGTAATAGTAAGTATGAATACCTGATTTGATGCATGCACGGCTCCAATTAGCCTCCATAGGAGTTTGCATGAGCTTTAAATGAAATTGTCCCACAATTGGGAAAACTCACTAATGGGGTTACTGTCTTTTGTATTGATGCCCCCCAGCATATGAACAATCGTTCCTGGGCTTTCAAAATGCATTTGTCCTTCAGTGTGATCTTGCCATTGGACCATGAAATTGTCAGTGACTTTTTATGTCAGTTAGAGAATTTTAGTAACACCTGACGAACACAATTCCTTTAAGAGATGATGCCATTTGTTTACATGTCACTCTGCATATTTCGCCCTGATTTTTCATGAATGAGGAAATTCCGTAGTGCAAGCCTATGCCAACCTACTCGGTGTTCATTAGAACCCTCGCCTTCTTACCAATTACCCTCATGAAGGACAATATGGTACTTTGTCTGAAGTTGCTGGCGTCTCAAAAGTCAGGACTCTCTAAGAGTTTATGTGCATTTTTGCAAAACTTCAAAGAAAGGACATATTGAAGGCTGAGTTTAACTTCAACTCAGCGATTCAGTTCAATGAAAATTTGCTAAGCATTGGGTGTTGTACCGAGTGCTGGGAATAGATACAAAAGCAAAAGTAGAACAATGGGGGCAGCTAGGTAGTGCAGTAGATAAAACACTGGCCCTGGAATCAGAAGGATGGGGGTTCAAACCTAGCTTCAGATACTTACTAGCTGTGTGACCCTGGGCAAGTCACTTAATCCCAGTTGCCTAAAAACTTATTGGGGCAGCTGGGTGGTGCAGTGAATAGAACACCAGCCCTGAAGTCAGAAGGACCTGAGTTCAAATCCAGTCTCAGATCAAACACTTGACACTTACTAGCTGTGTGACCCTGGGCAAGTCACTTAACCCCAATTACAAAAAAAAAAAGTAGAACAATGCCTTCCTTCATAAAGCCTATTTTTTCACATACTCACCAGCTATGTGACCCCTGATGAGTAACTTAATCACTGTCTGCCTTAAGTTTCCTCAACTGTAAAATGAGGAATATAATAATAGCACCTAACTTTCAAGGTTGTCGTAAAGATTAAAGAGGTGATATTTGTGCAGTGATATTAGCACAGTGACTGGCACGTAGTAAGTGCTTAATAAATGCTTATTCCTTCTTCTCACCTTGCCTTCCTTTACTTTCCTCTTTCTATTCCTCCCTCCCTGCTTTCCTTCCTTCCTTTCTTCACTTTCCTCTCTCCCTCCCTCCCTTCCTTCCAGCCTCCCTTCCTTTACTTTCCTCTCTCCCTTCCTTTACTTTCATCCCTCCTGTCCTTTCCTTTCCTCTCTTCCCTCCCTCCCTTCTGTCCTTTCTTCCTCCCTTCCTTTACTTTCCTCTCTCCCTTCCTTCTACCCTCCCCATCCCTCCTGTCCTTTCCTTTCCTCTTTTCCCTCCCTTTCTCCCTCCCTTCCTTCCTTTATTCTTCCCTTCCTTTACCTTCCTCTTTCTTCCTCCCTTCTTCCCTTCCTTTACTTTCCTGCCTTTCTTCCCCCCTCCCTTCCCCCCCTTCCTTTACTTTCCTCACTCCTTTTACTTTCCTCTCTTCCCTCCCTCCCTCCCTCTCTTCTTTCCTTCCTGACTTCCTTTACTTTCCTCTTTCTCCCTCCCTTCTTCCCTTCCTTCCTTCTTTCCACCCTCCCTTCCTTTACTTTCCTATCTTCCTTCTTTCCCTTCTTCCTTCCTCCTTCCTTTTAGTTTCCTCTTTCCCTTCTTCCTTTCCTCTGTCTCTCCCTGCTTTCCTTCCTTCCTTCCTTCCTTCCTTCCTTCCTTCCTTCCTTCCTTCCTTCCTTCCTTCCTTCCTTCCTCAGAGAACTTCCTTTCTACTTGCCTGCTAAGTGGTAGTCACAGGGCTATATTAAAGTAGCACAGTTCTTACCCTCAGAAAACTTACTATCTACTGGGGAAGTAGATGCCAGGTATGAACACAAAGACAAAACCAAAGCTGTCCTTGCCTTTATTTTCTACTGGGGTGCTTTAGATCAGTATCTGTGGATACAGAGACAAAAACAGTCTTTGACCTCAAGGAGCTTACTTTCTGCTGGGGAGATATATGCCAGACCCTGATAATACAAAGCAAATCCTAAGTCAAGATGAAGTGATTTCACTGGGCAAGGGTGGGCAGCAGCAGTTAACCTCTGCATGGGATCAGGAAAAGCCTCATGGAGGCATTGGCCCCTGAATTGAGCCTAGAAGAAGGTTTGAGTCCCAGTTCTTTGTGGTCACTTTTCTAAATGAATAAAGGGCCTCCATGTTTGCCTGTTGGATAGGACATGTACTGATGGGAATGTTTTTGGCCATGGTACTCCTACCCAGGCAAAGACAGCATGTGGTTGAGTTGTAAGACCATTGATTTTTCTGGGCTTTGAGGCCTGCACAAAGAATTCCCTTTTTCATTTGGCTTTGGCCGTGGCAAAACTACTTACGGAAACCAAAGCTGCTAAACAGCTGTCCAAGCTCTGCCAAAGTAGAATTGGATGCTGATCAAGAAATTTGCAAATCACCCAAATTAATTCATTTTCTTGAAGTGAAAGTCATTTCCTTCCCTCTAAGTCAAGAGACATAGGCATCCCTTAACATCAGTTTTAATTATTTGAGAATGATTTATTTCCTTCTGAGGGCAGAGTGTCAAGATGCCAAGATGTCTACTTTCTCATTTCTGTGAAAACCTTTTAGAAATGTGCTGAGATGTATCAGTGGGATGCTACGTGAAAACCATGGGAAAGGAGCTTTTTACCCCAGGCTGGACTGAAAGAAAAGCTCAGGAGTAGAATCATGGAGTGACATGTACAGGAAGACTCCTTTGTGCTCTGAGATGATCTGTATTTCTTGGCAAACAAGAGACAGTCCATCTCATTCCAAAGTGACCATGGCATTTGAATCTCCCTAATCCTTCACCCCAAGAGCAGCAAAGGTAGCTCACTGGATAGAATGCTTGGATCTGGAGTCAGGAATACTTGAGTGCAAATCCAACCAAACTCTTATAAGCTGCGTGACCCTGGGCAAGTCACTTAACCTTTATCTGCCCCAGCTTCTTCATCTATAAAATGCATAATAATAGAACCTATCTCCCATGGTTGTTGGGAGGATAAAATGAAATAATATTTACCTTGAAGTGCTGTATAAATTCTAGCTGTCATAGACAGGTAGGTGGTACAGAGGGCTGGACTTGGTGTCAGGGAGGCCTGAGTTCAGATTTATTAGCTGTGGGACTTTGGGTAAATCATTTGCCTTGGTTTCCTCATCTGTAAAACAGGGCTAATAATAATAATAATAATTTGTCTGGGTTGTTGTAAGGATCACCTGGAAATGACCTATGTAAAAAGCTACATAAATATCAGCTGTTTTTATTATGATTTTTGCAGTCATTGGCCATTGAGAATCAATACCAAAGAGAATGCCAGGCCACCAAACAGGATTCTCATGAGCAGCAGGGAGTCCTATACTATGGATATACAAGTTTCTCCAAGAATCACCAAGAAGCATCTAGTAGCCTTCAAGGCATGTCCAAACCCAACTAGATAGTTGATAAATATAGGTGCAAATCTTGCCTCTGCTACTCACTAGCCTGGTCATGTTTAGTCTCCTGTCTGGAGTTAGTTTCCCCATCTGTAAATTGATTGGGGTCAGACTAGATGACCTTCTAAGATCCCTGCTGCCTCCAATCCTGAGGCTGTGATTATAAATGGACCACCCTGTACAATCAATCCCAAGTTTGCTAATGGTTTGTATGCCCAAAGTTTGTGTGAGCTGTGTGGGTCAGGGGAAGGTTACTCTGAACCTCATGTTTTCTTCACAGAAGAATCACTTCTTTAAAAGCTTTAAACAGAATTAAGTCAGAATATCCTAAGGAAATTATTAATTACCTCCATCATGGTGGAGCAATCTCCTGCATGGTTCTGTCTTCAACATGATATTTTTTTAAATTTCAGGGAAGGCATCAGGATCTGCTAAAGACCCAAGTGTGCACTGGGTAGCCATTGTATTGCCATCACTGTTTTCTCTCATAATTGGCTTTGTTCTGGGAGTCTTATACTGGAAGGTAAGGAAGCCCAAGATTTGCTGTCTATGTTCATCTCAATAAATGGTTAACCAGCTGGCCACCATTTTGTGTAAAATGGAATCTACCAAGAAAACCAATGGCCCTTACTGTATTCTTTCTGTGACACATATTTATACTCAAGTTAGTTTCTCTTTTGCCACCCACTATATTGATAAAAGTCCTGTCCTGGTGTATGCTTTGAAGATGAAACCTGCTTCTGGTATGTCTAAATTAAATTAAATTTTTAAATTTAATTTATGTCTAAATTTATGTCTAAATTAAATTTTTAAAAATTAAAAAAAGATAGATGCTTTAAAATAACATTTCAGAGTCAAATAGACATTTTTTAACGTGCTGATGATATTCACCCATGCCTCTCCTTCCTTTAGTTTTTCTCTGCCATTATTATAAGTTACTCTTGGTCAGTTTTCCAAACATTTCTTAGATTGAGTCCTACTCAGATATTCCGTTTTTAAATTTGTTGATGTGGCTGCTTTGTTTCTGAAAATGCTGAATCAGTAATGTAGTATTTTTTCTTTATTTTAAAACAACAAATTTTTAAGCATATGTTGTTACATGATGAAAAAAATGTCATTGGAATTAAGAACATGAAAGAAGTATGCCATTTACTTCTTTAAACTTTCCGGCCTTTAAAACTACCTCAGTATGATTGTGTTTTATTGTTCTTTTCTCAGAAAAAACAAATGAGTCTTAAAATGGAAGGTGAAAACAGAGAGATTAGTGAAGAGGATAATGAGATAAGGTACCTTATTTTACCAAATATATAGATGATTGCTGCACTGCAAATCCACTAACTCTGTGTGTGTGTGTGTGTGTGTGTGTGTGTGTGTGTGTGTTCATGACCTCTCCCTCATATTCACATGTCTCACATAGTTTCAGCTACCATCTTTCTGAATTCACATTTACATCTTGATCTCCCAGGTTGCTGCGCCTCCAAGTGAACCTTTCCACAGAGATGGCTTCCTAGCCTTTGGAACTTATCAGTCATTGGAATGTATTAGCTTCCTTTTCACAGTATAACCATCTTCTCAGAACTTCAGAAGAGTTATATTTGGCTCTTTTGTTTCTATTTTGTTTGCCCAATTTTCTCACCACTGTCTCTTTTTTTCCTTGACTTGAATCACCATCCTAGAACATGCAGTCATTACCACAAGCCTACATTACTTTCCTATACAACCTCCATAATAATCTAATTCAATCTCACTATTGTCATGTCACTTCCCTGTCCAGAAACTTAAAGTGGATAATAATGATAATAATAATGATAATAGTTGTTACATGATAATTTAATATATTAGTAATAGATAACATAATTATATACTAGTAGAGAGCAATATAATTTTATTATTACATCATTAACATAATTTAAAATTAGTAATATGTACTATAATTAAAATACTGTAATATGGTATTATACTATGGTATCATAAATGCTGTAATTATGTCATAGTATAATATACTATTATAGTTTTATTATAGATTATAGAAGTATATATAAATACACATTTCATCATATATCAATATAATTTTTATATAATTAGTAAGATAAAGACATCTTATTAATTACATCATACATTATATTTCTGTTTATATACTATAATTAAAAATTCTGTAATATAGTATTATACTATGGTATTATCATAAATGCTATAATTATATCATAGTGTAATATAGTATTATAATTTTTACTATAGCTTATATAAGCATATATAAATACATATCTTACCATATCTTGATATTTTTTGTAATTATAAAGACGTCTTATTAATTACATCACAAGTTATGTTTCTATATTATTATATTTTATTGTATAATATCATCATCATCATCATCATCCTTAGTGTAAATACAGGCAGCTTGGCAAAGTGAATAGAGAACTGAACTTAGAATCCATAAGACTTGCCTTAGAATCAGAATCCTGCCTCTCTGAGGCTTAACCGTGAGACTACGCACAGGCTTCTTAACCGCCCCCAGCCTCTGTTTCTTCCTCTGTAAAATGGCCATAAAAATAATACCTTGTAGTCCCTGCCTCACAGGACCATCGTGAGACTCTAGGGAGATAGTGTACACAGAGAGCTTTACAGACTTGAAAATTCTCTACTGGCTGAAAGTGTCTTTAGCCGAGTCTTCCAAGCTCTTCGCTATCAGATTCCCTCATCTCTTTCTTTTTCTTTTTTCCTTTTTTGTTAGCAATGGGGTTAAGTGACCTGCCCAGGGTCACACAGCTAGTAAGTGTCAAGTGTCTGAAGCTGGATTTGAACACAGGTCCTCCTGACTCCAGGACTGGTGCTGTACCCATTACGCCACCTAGCTGCCCCTTTTTTTCTTCCTTTTTTTTTAGATTTCCTCATCTCTCTAAACTCATTTTATATGACTGCCACCCCCACCCCCTGTGTTCTAGCCAAGCTCTGTGTGCTGTCCCTTGAACCTAATTCAGTTCCCACTCTTTATAGTGACCTTTTCATAGATTCTCCCTTATGCCTTTCCTGGACACCTGCTTTGTATATAGCAATGACATAAGCAGCAGAGATACAAAGAAAAAAAAGCAGCATCTGCCCTCAAAGGAGTTTACAATTTATCACTTCCTTTAAGACAGATTGAGGTTCTTAACTTTGGAGTCTGTGAATGTATTTCAAATGTGTGTGTGTTGAACTATTTCAGTATATTGAGTTTCCTTTGAAATTCTGTGTATTTTATTATACACATTTAACAACATTATTCCAAGCTTTGCAAGATTACCATAGGGGTCCATAACACCAAGAAGGTTAAGAATCCCTGTTCTGAGACCTTAGTCAGAACTTGTCCCAGAAAACCTTTTCCAGTTAACCCTGCACAGAACTAATCACCTTTTTTTCTTTATTCCATCTTTGAATTATTTAAACTTTTATTTTTATATATGTGGGGCAGCATGGCTTTGTGCATGAATGTATAACCAGTCTGGAAGCAAGGAGGCTAGCCTTTCCACCATACTCCCTGTGTTGTCTGCTCAAGTCGCTTAATCTCTAAGAATAAATACTTTGTAGAGTATGTGCTAGCCTGCATTTATGAAGGAAGTTTCCCTCTCTGGAAGTTGCCCACACTAATGACCAGTCCTTATCTCTTTCTCTCTCTCTCTCTCTGTCTCTGTCTCTGTCTCTTTCACACACACACACACACACACACACACACACACACACCCCCTTTCCTTGTAGATGATCAACTCCTTCAGGGCAGGGATTGTGTCTTCTGTCTCCTTTGCTTACCCAAGGTGACTAGACTATTCTATGATATACAGTGGGTAATCAGTAAATATTTGAGGGGCAAACCTGGGATTCTGACCCAGAGCAAACTACAGCTTGCTCTATTTTGCAATCTTTTGTGCTTAGGCCCACAGTAAACACTGACTTCCACAATGATCAGTTCATGGTGTTCTCCAGAATCTCTAGCCAAAAGCAAATAAGCTTTTTCTATTGTTTTTCCCCCCAGTATGTTGCAAGAAAAAGAGAGAGAGTTTCAAGAAGTGTAACTGTTGCTTGTATCAACACTGTTACTTTTGCACAACGGGTAAGTTTTTCATGACAAGATGGAAGTCTTAACAAGTAATATCCACCCTCCCATTGGCCACAAGTTAGAGTCAGGATTTTTTAAGGTCTTTGATTTAGTTATGTGCAGTTTTTAAAACTCAAGCTGTTCCCTGTTGGAGTCATGCATGTCTAATTTGTTCTTTATGAGCTGGGAATCACAAGCATTAAGCAAATATAGTCCTGATTAGTGGCCAGCTTTTGGATAAGTAGTATAGCTACATCTTTTATGAATACCTCTAAAGACAGAGCATTAAGATTTAGGGGACTAGGAACTAGATAAGAACTCTCAGCAGAAAAATCACAAATTTAACACATAGGTGGTAGATTCCCGTGCAGATGCTATAGTGGTCAAAAGATCCCTACTCAGGTAGTGTGTATTCTCTGATAAAAGCAAGTGTGCCCAGTAACAGTGCAGGATACAGTGAATACGAAATGGTGGCAAACCGAAATCCAGTCCAATTCAACAGACATCATTTAGGTACCTGCTATATCCAAAGCAATGGGGATACAAAGATAAGCTGTGCCCTTACGGAGTCCCAGCCTGTATGGTGCCATGGAGAGAGCAGTGAACTTAGAGTCACAGGATATGAGTTTGGACTTCTGGCTCTGTTACATAGTAGTTGTATCACCATGGCCAAGTCATTTCAGCTCTCTAGATCTTAATTTCTTCATCTGTGAAACAAGGGGATTGGACTCGATGACCTCTAAAGTCCTTTCTGGCTCTTGATCTATGACTCTATGTACACAGATAAGTAAATACAAAGTAATTTTAGGAAGGAGAGAGATTAGGAAAGGCCTTGTGTAGGAGATGGCTCCAGAGCTGGGCTTTGAAGGAAGTGAGGCGTTAGGAAGGGTGGAGGTGAGGAGGGAATGGCATTCCAGAAATGGGGTCAGCTGTGCAGAGGCACAAAGTTGGCAGGTGGACAGTCTTCTGCAGGGAAAGCCTAGCAGGCCACTTTGATTGGAACCAGGTAATGTGTGAGTGTGGTTGAGGGAACGTTGGGGTCAAGGAGTAGAGAGAAATTGGAGTGGCTTAACTCTTATGCTATTTACTTCCCCATTTCTTTTCTCTGATCCTCCTCCCAGGCCCCAGAGTGCTGTGGGAGGATGCCACAATGCTACAGACCTGGCTCACAACCTATTAATACTGTCTGTTTTTTACTTCATTGTTGTTTGTCTGTCCTCCCATTTCTCCCCCCTTCCCCCGGTCTCCTCTTGACTCCCTTACACAGTCATCACAATACATATGATAATTTCTACCTTTAAATCCTGAATTCTTGTCCATTTTTGTCTCACTCTCAGTCTCTTACAGAAAAATAATTGAACCTGTCTAGCATTCTCGTTGCCATGATCATGTGGTCACCTCCATCTCTCCCTGTAGCCTTAGAGGAAAAGATGTGTCTCTTCTCTAAACTTAAATCTTCCATCTTGGGTCTTATCCTTGCCTTCTTCTCCAGGACCTTGTTTGTACCTAAACCTTCCTCCTCTGCCTTTATCCAGTATAATATAGAAAGGGAGTTTTGGGGTTTTGTCATTGTATCCTGTAACCTACAGTGTTAATTGACTAGAGCACTGAGACGTTAGGTTACTTGTCCAAGGTCACGCAACCTGTCTATGTCTGAGGCAAGAACTTGAACCCAGATCTTGCTGGCTTCAGGGACAGTTTTCCTTTCATTGTCCTATAGCTGCCTCATGTTCATATACATAGTAGGCACTGAATAGTGGAGTAGGATCTTTTCCATGGGCTTGTTTCTATCTACTTCTAGACATGCTCAGGTCTTCCCTATCTTAAAAGAAAAATCAATTAATCAGCAAGCATTTAAGCATGTGACAGGCTCCGAGCAAGACACTGGGGGCATTCCTAGCTCTCTGGGAACTTATATTCTAACAGCAGCATCAATATAAAACAATTAAAAACAACTTTTCTTGATCTCATAGGACTTTGGAACTTCCGTTCAATCTTCTTCCTTCCTTCTGCTGCCAAGCTCTGACCGTTTAAGGTCAAGGGGGCTTCTATTCTCCAAGATTTCTTTCCATTCTTCCTAACTCCAAATTTTTGTTCCTCCTGTTAGCCTATTTCTCTTCCCTTCAAAACCCAAAGAACTACTTTTTCCCCAATTGTTACTTCTTATATCTTTAAAATAACAACAACAACATTTACATAGTGCTTCCAAGTTTGCAAAGTACCTTACAGATTTGAACTCATTTTAGCCTCACAACAAACTTGTAAGTTAAGAGCTGTTATCCCCATTTTATAGAAACTGAGGGGCTTAGGGGTCACAGCTAGTAAGTGTGTGAGGCAGGATTTGAACTCAGGACTTTCTGAGTTTCTGACTGTGTAATGCAGCCAGTTAGGAAATGGCAGTACTGTTTTTCAGCAAACTTGATAGCTTGGGAATCAGAACAAAGAAAGCCAACATTTTCTACTGCGATGGGGAAATTAGAACCATACTCATTCGAAGAGTAGAGGACAGTGATAGAAGTACAGATCACGAGTTGTTTGTGAAACCCTTAGCTAAGCCTTGATTGGGAATATGTAATGAATTAAGGAGCCAGGGAGAAATGGTAGGAACTGAAGATTAGGTAGCTTGTTATCAAATGTTAGGCCTTTTATCCTATTTACCTACCAAAGTCTAAAACCTTTTAAAAGTCTACAAATGAAGTAATGTATATAAAGAGCTTTGCAAACCTTAAGGGGATATATGTGTCAGCTCTTATTACTATTACTAATATGATAGCTTTCTGCTTTTTCCTGAAGTTCTTTTTAGCTATAAAAAATGAAGAGTCTGAGAGCAAATTGGTTCAGGACCTACCTAAATGACCAAAGGTCAAAGAAGTATGCTGTTCCGTTGAGTCTTATTAGGGAGGGGAGGAAAGGAGTGAGCATTTAGCATTAGGGTTAGCGTTAACCTACTTTCAATCAGAGGTGTGCTGGTGAAAACTTACCAACTAGCTCTAAGAAAAAAAAATGCCTGCCTGACACACTTAAGTTAATCTGCATCACTAACATTTTTTTCCCCATTGATTTCTTAAGTCTATATGTTCAATCAAAAACATAAATCAAGCCATGATTTGTGCTTGCCATGTGCCAGGCACAATGCCAAGCACTTATTCCATATGTTACCTTGTTTGATCCTCACAGCAAACCAGAAATTTGTGTTTTAACCCACATTCTTTGACTCAAATTACAGAATTCTTTCTGTATGGTTACCTAGAGATTGTTACAAACACATAGTAAGCAATAGAAAAAGAAACACAAGTGCTTTAGATCAGAGCTGGAAAATGTCAAAAATGAATCCAAAGTTCTATCGTTCATGACCAGCTGTGTAACAGTGAAATAAAGTTTAGTTTCCATGCTTTGGCAAATATGAGCATGGTGCCTCATGACAGAATCTGCTGTGGTGCAGGACTCAGGGAGAATCTTAGGTCTATCTGATTCTTTTTTTTTCACCACAAATATTGGATCAGTTTCTGCAGGAATAAGCTCAGTAGGTCTCTTTCCCTCAGACAGCTTTTTGTTCTCCTGAGCAGGACCATTCAGGGAATGGCAGAAGTTGTGGGCTCTTCTTGGTAATTTCTGGGGACTGAACAAATGAAACCTCATTTTTCTAGCAGACATTTTACTGAGAGGTACCAATTTTAGTCCAGCGCCCATCCTTACCTCATTTTGGCGTAAGACTTAGAAATATATCTGGTGCAGTGAAGAGTGTTGAATTTTAAGTCAAGACCTAATTCTAATCAGATGTTGTTGTTGGAGGTACTAGGTGGTGCAACGGATAGAGTGCCAAGCCTGGAGTCAGGAGAACCTGAGTTCAAATTTGGCTTTGCACACTAATTAACTGTGTGATCCTGGGCAAGTCACCTAACCCTGTTTGCCTCAGTTTACTCATTTGTAAAAATGAGCTGGAGAAGGAAATGGCAAACTACTCCAGTATCTTTGCCAAGAAAGCCCCCAAAAGGGGTCACAAGAAGTTGCACATGACTGAAAATGACTAAACAACAACAACATTGTCACATAGGTAGTAAATGTCAAAGGCAGCATTCAGATTTTGATCCTGTGATTTCTCAGCACCCTTGTCCTCTCATTCCTTTTTTTTAATCTTGGAATTATCTTTCCCATGTCAGCACAGTGTCTTGCATGAAATAGTGGTTAATGAATATTTATTGAATTGAATTGAATTAGAGGGAGAAATGATGTCTAGATCAGGTTAGATAATCTCTCCAAGCTCTAGTGTCTGCTGAGTAACATGGAAGGCAATTGATTTGACGATCTTCTGGCATTTCATCTTAGAGATACTTCATTCTTCTTGTCTTGTTCGCCCTTTTCCTGTTGCCTCACTGTTTCCTCTCTCCTTTTCTTCTATGTCCATATCTACCTGCATGCCATAAGATTTCTGGTGATATCCTCGGGCATTTCTTAGATCTCCTTGAGGGAGACCACTTGGGGCCAGAGTGGTTGCTGACCTTCTAGAATAACTTTGACAATGCTTTTTTAGAATCATGTGGGTGAGAGGAGCTTATAGCTACATTGCTGACTTGGTAGATTTTTCTGACTGCTTCTGGATCAAGAATGAAAGGAATGGAGAAAGTAGAAATACTACAGTTTCTCTCTTTTTTCCTCCTTTTCCTCTAGGCGGGTAACAGTTTTATGTTTGCTTCATAAATGAAGCAGCTTTAAGCAAATTCATATTCTGTCTGGAGTGACAGACTGAGTCTCTGTCTGCACTTGCTACTCATGACTCCATAATGATGATTCAGAAATGGGGACAAAGTGTCTTACTGTGAAACCAGCGCTGAATCAATCATCTGCAAAGAAGAATATGCATGGAGCAGAACTCTATTTTAAGAATTTGGGGATTTACCGTCTCATTTAGAACTGGTAACTCATGTCGGGAAAGGAACTGCGTTCCCTGGACTCCATGTACCACCCGCATGCCTCCAGCAACGTGTAGTTTACCAAACATCCATGTGTTCTAATCCTTCAATTGCCATCTGCATCCCATAGTTTAACCTGGTCTGTATAAATGGCCTTGAGCTTGGATTGTGGGGATAAAAAAATGAAAGAGAAGCAGAGTTTTAAAGACACTCTGGTATAGGAAGAGGGGAAATCTGAGAGATGCAGACGGTTAGCATGCTGGCCTTTAGTCTTACGGAATCTAGGCTCATGTTTTGGACGACATGACGTGGATCCGGTCTCTTTCTCTGCCTGATGAATACCATATCTATCCATCCCCCCCAAAAAAAAAGCCTACCGGATAATCTGACATGGTTGGCTGTTCATGGCTGTCCATGCAGGGGAAGTCAATACTGTATTAGACTGGTGATGTTGTTGCCACATGGAGAAGCTCTGAAAGAGTTAATATATGAAGAAGCGTTCAGCACTGAATATCAGAAGGGCCCACCTGAAGAAGAAGACATTTGGTGCCCCTGGTGATGTCTGCCTCTTTTGATAACCACTATGGTGTGTATAGATACGTTTCCAAAATATGTTAGAGCATTTTATATACATATATTCTAGAAACCTTTCACAGAGTTATGTAAAGAGAGACTTAGGAGAAATTGCTGAGTGTGTGGAGATCCTACTTAAAACTGCAGCTGTGGGAGGGACATGAGTATGGCTTAGAATATTCAGTATCTAATAAGAGACAACCACATACCTAAACATTGGTATCAAAAACCTTGGCCTTTGCAAAAGAGCAAGAAATCTAGCAACTTTAGCCACTGGTAACATAGTCTTCGTCATGTTTGAAATATCCATTTATTTAAGATCTGGCACTATTCATTAAGGGTATAATTCAGAGTTGTTGTTTTTCTTTTAAGCTTTATTCAGTTTTGCATGTTGGCTTATTGTTTAAACACATGACTGCCTAGGGCATATTTTGGAGAAACTTGGCAAGTGTTGCTGAAGGGCAAAGGATCTGTGATTTCATCAGCACTGGGGATTCTTAGAACCAATCTGCAACCTACTAGATAAATCTAAGGGGTTGGTTCAATGAGGTACATGGAATTTAGTGACTTGACCCACAGTCACACAGCTAGCAAGTGTCGGGGGGGTGGAATTTGAACCTAGGTCTTTCTGATTCCAGGCCTTGTACCAAATCTACTACCAAGCTCCCTGTACTAGAGTCCTCCATAATATGGACACTTAGTAATTTTAAACTCAAATTTAAAGTGTCTTGAGAAGCCTTTCTAATGATATGTTCCATCTTCTAAAGGCAGACAGTTCATTAAAGCCAGTGAACAATTAATTCTTAGTTTTTTCTGCTGAGTATTTGAGAGAGAGAGAGAGAGAGAGGGTGAGAGAGTGAGAGTTTGTGTAAGTATGTGTGTGTGTGTGTGTGTGTGCACGCGCGCGCGTGTTTGTTTTAATGTGCCATAAAGCTACAAATGGAGCCAAAAGTGTATCCTTCCAAGCTGAAGATTGGGGCAACAGTACAATGATGAATTATCTCCACAGACTGGCCATTGACACACTGGCCTCTTGACCCAGAAAGGCATGAAACAGTCATTGTTCTCTTTCCTTTGTATCGAAATGTCAGAAAGTCTCCGTGGTAGTTGGAATCTTCAGTTTGGACTATACTGTATGGACTGCCTGATTCTCCAAGCTTTAGAAGACAATTAAATGCATTTAACAGTAAAACAATGCTGAGCATAATTGCTTGATGCTGGTTAGCTGGACACAGGCTCTGACATGCCTGCCTGTAGAGAGAATGCATAGCTTCATTATTATAGTCCAGAGTTGACCAAATAGAGAACATTCAACATTATTGGAATTGGCCAGCTGGCATCTACGTCTAGGAAAGCACCTTGCGATTTCCTGTTACGTTCCTATCCCATCATTACATTTCAGAGTTGCCTTTTGAAGTAGCTTCAGAAGGTCTGAAGAGCATAAATGACCCTTTAAAGCTTTGCACCTTGTTGTGAGAAACCTAGATTGTGAAGAAGCCAGCCCCATGGCTAATGGTTCTTGGACAGTGAAATCCAAATGGTCCTGAATAATGGGTTACACAAGACCGTTTCACACTGCCAAACTCCAATATCAGAAACATCTTAACTTCCCTTCATTTCATTATTGAACTAGTCAATGGTCATGCCATACTAGAAGGTAAAATGTCAATTTAAAAAAAGTTTCCTTTAGGTAAGATTTAGATTGTTTCTAGTAAATCAGAGTGTTTTGGGGGATTTTTGTGATGCGTTTATCAACTAGATTCAATTTGGTTTTAAATCTATAGGGGGAAGAAAACCTTCATTCCACATTCACAGCTGTCCCTATGACATATTTCTCTAGTTAAGGTGTGTCATCCACATTTCTTCTTACTGGCACATTTATTAGTCCTTCCGCATTTCTTTGTTTTCTACACAGAACAAGGAGAGAAAAACAGAGCTGACGATTTCAAGTGTAGTATTCCGTTCTGGGGTCTGGGTGTATAAAATGCTGACCTTCCAGAATCATTGTTGTTTTTATTTAGAATGTAAATAGGGCTCATTAGTCAAAGCAAGATTCAGTTTTACCCAAGGTAAATTGAATAACTATTTGCACAAGTGATGGCTTTTCATCTCTGCTTGAATGAACAGTTTGGAACACCTCCTACAAATACATCATGACATTCAAGTACACTCTAGATCCTGCAGTCAGAAAGAGTTGCTTTAATGTATGTTTAACATTTGGAAACCCACCAAATTATGCATTTCAATATCTTAATTTTATTAAAAGCTAAGGGCCTAAAATGGAGGATGTACATAAAGTTCAAAATGCCAGAAGATATTTTAAAATCGATTTGGGACAGACCAATCTGTAAATTACTTTTCTGGCCATTTGTTATTATTTTTTTTTATGGTGAAATGAGAGGAGAATTTTATAGGTCAACTCATCCTTAGTATAATTTTAGAATATGCCACCTTGAAATTCCCCTTAGAATCAATCCATCAATCAACAAACACTTTTTAAGCACCTGTGTGCCAGGTACCACACAAGGTGTGAGGAAAAAAAAGATGAGTTTTTAGTTTGAGAGCTCCAAGGAACATTACTGTAATGTTGAATTACATATTCACTAGAATTGGAAATGCCTTTGTTCCAGGAGACAAATAAGAGTACTTTAATTTCATACTGAGGGCTTTTTACAAACAATTATTCCTGTGAAAATTCCATTTCTGAGATCCTGAAGTATCAACTAAGGAAAAATGCATATCTATCTGTATATGTATGTAGGTATTTGTGTATTTCTGATGACTGTCACCAAGTACATACATACTACAGTGGCTTTCTCTTTACATTTTCATCATTAGTATTTTAATTACAGGAGCTGTTGAATGGAAGATCTAACAACACAGTGCCATTTTCATTTATTTGACTCAAGAGCTGTAAGACTCACAATATCTCCCCAATCAGAAAATCCTAGTCTCCTACACTATCAAACGCTAGTGTAGGATTGCACACATCTACTTGCCATGATTTTGCAATGAGTGTGCTTGAAAAAAAGGACTCTGATTCCTTTTCAATGGATGCACAGGTATATTTGCTGGTTCTGTTTTAGGTTGGAGTTCTAATGTAAATCGATGTCAACACTACTTTGCATAGTTTATTATGACTGAAGGTTAATTAAATCAAAGAGGTTTGTAAAATGTGATGTGTATGTGTATATACCGTATGCGTACTTTTTAAAATAGGTGTATGTCCCGACTCTTTTTTTTTATACCAGTTTGAATTTGAAATTACATTATATATACATATACTTTATTGTTCTAAATAAAGAATTTTATGCACTATTGTGACATGGTCTTGTCCTTAATGATTTCACAGTTCTTCGTATAGTCATGAAAATTACATACCCTGAGATGGGGAAGGGACTGCAGAGGTCACCTATGCCTGAACAGGATTCCCCATTCTAAAACTATCTAATCCAGTCTCTGCTTGAAGATCACCTCCTAAGAAAGCACATTCTACATTTAGACTGTTCTAATCATTAGAATTTTCCCCCCTTCTATCAAGCCTAAATTTAATCATGATACATGCATACCTATATGTATATGTGTATGCATGCGCACACACACACACACACACACATACACACAATCTGGGTTGCCCGTCTCTGGATGTTGTTATTTAACTGTAGTGTCCAGAACCGAACACGGTATTCTAAATGTGATCTGATTAGGGCAGACTATTACCTGTTTATGGCTGCAAGCTATGCAGTGATACTCTGCCCTCATTAGCTTTTTTCCTAAATGATACATAGCATGTAGGAGTGGAAGGAAAGCTGGTTTGGATGTAAAAAGACCCAAGGCCAATCCCTAGTTCTGAATAGCTGTATGAAATTGGGCAGGTCAGATGGATCTAATGTAATTGTTTTAGCTACATCGTGGAGTTGTGAAGAAAATGGTATATGAATGTGAGTTGTCATTATAAAGTGATTAGGACCATCTCAGCTGGCAAAAAACTATATGTAAGATTTTATTCAGTTTTGTCCAGTTTATTGAAATATAGGCTTGTATGAAAAATTTTGGAATGCACACCTTTAGAAGATTAACTTACTGACCCTGATTGTAAACTTCTAATAAAATAAGGGAATTTTGGGTCTTAATAAAACTCCATAAAGGAAGCATAGCACAGCAGGTAGAGAGATGTTCTTGAATATAGGAACGTGACCTGGGTTCTAGTCCCACCTCTTAGACACACAGGCTATGCAACTGGGAGAGGAAGGGGAGGAATAAGCATTTATGTAGCACCTACTGTAGCTCCAGGCACGGTGGTAAGTAGGTGCTAGTGTTATCCTCATTTTATAGTTGAGGGAAGTGAGAGCTTGGTGGTTAAGCAACTTGCCCGGGGTTACCCAGCTAGTAAATGTCTGAGATCAGATGTGAACTTAAGTCTTCTTAGCTCCAGGCCTGATAGCTTCCTCAACTGTGGGCAAGTTATTTGACTCATCAGTACTCTAGGCAACTTTCTTAGCCTATAAATTGCAGAGAAGGGGCCAATCTACACCAATCTAGGGAATTTCCTCATCTGGGAGTTCTCTGTGTCAGTGAAATCACATGAAATCACATGTCTCGTTTCTATCCTTTTCCACTCTCTCTTTTATATATTGTACGTTGGTCATAGGTGGTTGTTCGGTGTCTGACTCTTCATGACCCATGTGAGGTTTTCTTGGCAGAGATACTGGAGTGGTTTTCCATTTTCTTCTCCAGTGGGTCACCTTTTATCAGAACTCTCCACCGTGACTTATCTCTCATGGGTAACCCTACACGGCATAGCTCATAGATTCATTGAGCTACAGAGGCTCTTCCACCATGACAAGGCGGTATTCCAGGAGGGGATCAGTCACAGGACCTGGGTCTAAATCCTGTCTCTGATACTTACTAGTTATATCTCTTTGAGCTAGTTGCTCCATCCTTTGGAAGTTAAGTGTCTCCCTCCTTGCCCCCTGTAAAGTAAGGGGCTTAGTCTAGATAAATGATTGCAAAAATCTTCAGTTATTTCAAACATAAATATTTCCCAGAAGCGAAGATTTCCCCATAGCCTGAGTCTGTTCCCTTTCCCAAAATGCTGGTTCTGGTTCTATTATTTTTGTCTCTGTCCACAATCTCTCATCCTTCCTACTTTTCACTTGCTCCCCTCACCAACCTTTTACATTAAAATCAGGTCACTATGAGTGGTTAGCTGAAGCATGAGATTTAAGCACATTCCACACCCTCTCCTCCCTTTAGTTTACAGTCAAGCATATTCTTCCATACAATGGACCAGCATCACCCATTCCAATTTTGAATAGTAAGTATGGTCATTGATCTGTAGTGTCTAGTACATAATGGGATATTTTAAAAATTAAATTTTTGTATGTATGATTTGTTTCTGCATTGTCTAAATCTCCCCCTATATCTGTCTTCCTTCACCCTCCCAGAGAATCAGGATATATAACAAGGAATATTTTTAAAGGGAAGGGGAAAGGGAGAAAACCTGTGTTTATTTATTTATTGCCTAGTATGTGTCAGGTACTGTGCCAAGCATGTTTACAAATAATCTCATTTGATCCTCACTGCAACCCTGAGAGGTAGGTGCTATTATGATTCCCATTTTTACAATTGAGAAAACTGAAGTATACAGGTTAAGTGACTGGTTCAGGGTCACCCAGCTAGTGAGCATCTGTGGCTGAATTTAGTACTGAGCTCTTCCTGACTCCAGGCTCAGCACTCTATCTATTGTGTCACCTGAATGCCTCTAAAAGAAAAAAAAGGAAGAAAAAAATTGATTTTTAAATCTGTGTATGTGTAAATTCCCTTTACAAAGAAGTAGAAGATGACCTATTTTTTTTTGGAGCCATACTTATTCCATAATCACATATGTGTGTGTATTTTTTTTAATTGGACCCAGGATTTCACTGGTGTAGGGAACTCTCACTGCCAGTCTGAAATGTATGCTGTTAGAAGTTTACCAACCAGCTCTCCAGTAAAAAAAAAATGCATGATACACTTTTAAGTTTAATCTGATTGACTAACATATTCTCCATCAGTTTCTTAAATCTATATATCCAATCAACAAAATAAATCAAGCCCCGATTTTTACATTTGCTGATTCCCTAGGTGTAAATACTTACACTGAAAATTTAGCAATCAGCTCCAATTGGTTTGAGGCAACTCCAGCTTGACCTTCATACAAATGTGGGTATGCAACTTAGTTTTCTGGTACACTGGTACGTTAAGCTACCAGCTTAATGGCCAGACAGTCAGTATATGTCAGAGGTGGGTCTTGAACTACAGAACATTGCCTCTTTGTGAAATTGTTGTAAGTATTAAATGAAATAAAGTAGACAAAAGCACTTACAAAAAGAAATATGTGTAGTGAAAATGTAAAGCATTACTGGCCTCCCTTGACTCATCTCATGAAAAACCATGTGTCTGTGAGAGAATGATACCAAGAAAGCATCCAGATGGATTGATGCTCCATTGAACTCCAGTTGACAGCATACATCACCCCTCCTCTCTTTTCCCATTTTACAGATCTGTAGCTCTTCTTGGTTCAGAAACTTGGGTTCTGGGTCAATGGATGAAGAATTCTTTTGTATGTCTGCTCATCTGAGTGTCTTTGTGTGGATTGAAAGAAAGCAAGAGTCATTTTTTTTTAATTTTAACTTTTTTTTTTGGTGAGGCAATTGGGGTTAGTGATTTACCCAGGGTCACACAGCTAGTAAATGTTAAGTGTCTGAGGCCAGATTTGAATTCAGCTCCTCCTGACTCCAAGGCCAGCGCTCTATCCACTGTGCCACCTAGCTGCCCCTCAAGAGTCAATTTTTAAACCAGTCAATTGACCAAAGATTGGCAGCGCCCATGACAGCTGACCTTAACTTAATCACAATGTCAGAGGCATTATGATACAGTGAATAGAGTGCATGACTTGGAGCCAGGAAGACCTGGCTTCAAATACTGTCTTAGTTATTTAATAACTCTTGTTATGTGGGCAAATCCCTTTGCGTCTGTGGGCCTCCGTTTCTTCATCTATAAAAAGGATGTAATGACACCTACCTCATAGGGGTACTGTGAAAATCACAAGAGATAATGTCAGTCAACAAGCATTTGTTAAGCACTTCAAGAAATTTATTAAGACGTTAATATGAGCCAGCTACTGTACTAAGGATTAGGGATACCAAAAAAAGTCAAAAACATTGTCCCTGCCCTCAAGGAGCTAACATTCTAATGGGGAAGGCAACATACAAAGAGCTATCTATTTACACTTACCAGCTGTGTTACATGGACAAGTCATTTAACCCTGTTTGCCTCAGTTTCCTCATCTGTAAAATGACGTGGAGAAAGAAGTGGCAATCCACTCCAGTATCTTTGTCAAAAAAACTCCAATGGGGTCACAAAGAGTTGGACACAGTTGAAAAATGACTCAATAACAGCCATTTACTTACAAGATATGTGCAATGTTGATGGTAGGTAATCTGGGAAAGAAGGCATCCTTACTGTGTGTGGGATGGGGTGGAGTGAGGGGAACAGAGACCTCTTACAGGAAGTGGGAGTTGAACTGAGTCATAAATGAGTCCAGGAGAGCCTGGACAGCCCCATGTTTGGAATGCTTCGTCCAACCCAAAGACAGAGTTAGGAGACCGAGAGTTCCCTGCATTGAACAGTAAGGAGATCAATATCTCTCTCATAGAGTACCTAGAAGTGAATAAAGCTTAAGTTTAAGAAGATTTGAAAAGTAGGAAGGAGCCAATTTGTGAGGGGGTTTAATAATGTCTGTGAAGTGCTTTGCCAACCTTAGAGGGTTATATAACTGTATACAGCTGTTAATAGAACTGGAAATGACCCTAAAAATCTAGTCCATTTCGCTGGTAAGCAAAAGCAAGACCCTGAAAGGTTTCACCATCTGTCTTGCCCACGGAACCAAGAGATGAGCTATTGGTGCCACAGACCCTATAGGATCTCATTAGAAGAACAGTTAGAGACTAAAATAAGTGAATGCAAATTAACCTTCTCTGGAATTATGCTCAGAAAAGTCACTAAGAGTTATTCCCTTTGACATACCCCAGTCTTCTATTGGGCACATACCCCAGAGACATCAAAGGTAAGTTTCTTCATGTATCAAAATACCTGGAGTGTTTTTTGTGTTAGCAAAAGAGCTAGAAACAAAGCAGATACGTGTTGTTCTATGGAATGACAAACAAATGAGTACATGCCTATAATAAAATACCATTGTACCATGAGAAACAGTAAGTATGTATAATTCAGAGAAATTTAGGAAGACTTATGTGAACTGATGTACAGCAGTGTAAGCAGGG